TAATTATACATAAATACATCCACAAATTTAATGAATAATCATAGAATTGAAACAAATAATTTTCCAAAACATTACATATTCTAAAGAATTATTATCAAAAAGATTTATATAAAAAAACTATTTTCATAAGAAATTTTGAAATCTTTTCCTTCTAAAATTATGATATTTTGCTTGAATTAATACAGATTAATTTCTTTATTAGAATTAAAAAGAATAATTAAATATCAATTATCTATTTCAAATGTGAGTACTATTGAGTATTAGAATTACGTATTCATCCGTTTTTTAAAGTCTCGGTAATCATAATTTTAACAATCATTTTGTATAAATTTCATAATTGTTTAAAAAATACTTGCGTTTTTTTTTTTTTTTTTAATATCTATGGATTTTTTTTTAAATAGGAGTTTAATAAGTAATTTAATTGATTATTTATACAATTTTATATTGTATGTGTACTTTCAAGTAAATAATATGTTGACAAATAAATTCTATCTCAGTGGAAAGAAAGTAATAATTATATAAATAAATATATTTGAATTAAATAAAAAAACGGAAGGTTGTCTCTGAAAATTATGAAAATGAAATTGCATAATGCTTTTGAACATAAATCTATCTATTTTTAATATTTTTTTATTTATTAGTTTTAACTTCCATATACCGTATTAAACATGAAAGTCTATCAAATATTGATTTGTAAGAAATGTAGTTCTCATAAAATATATTGCATTATAATATCGATATTTTATTCAAAGTAAAAAAACAAGCAATTTTTAGTTATATAAGCATGTAATATCTGTAATTTTTTATTTACATTTATACTTCATATTTTTAACATAAGAGAAAACGATACTAGAAAACGACATTAAATACAGGATTTAATAATCTTCACCATATATTAGTTAATATCTAAAATGCTTAAAATAAGTGAGTAGAAACTATAATTTATACATTTGTTCAAATAATATAATTCTGTTGTAATATTACTAAAAATTCCTATACAATGTTCTCTAATTTTATAATTTTCTTTGAATAGGTCAATGTACTTTGCCAACTAAACAATTGGAATATGTATAGGCGCATGTGCGTATGTATTATAAGGGTTTCTTTCAATATAATATAACTACTGTTGCTTTTATAAGAAATTATAATATAGGGATACCTGTACTTCTCGTACTGTACTCAGGTACGAAAACTTTAAGTTCGGTTATAATTATTTGTTTGAAATTTGTAACAGGTTCTTGAAAAATTCATTTAAAGTCATAATCGTCTATTATAATTTAATTTTTATGATAAAATTTTGTCACTTTTGTGAAGTGGTGTAGCTTTGATTGTAGTAATTATTAAAAATAAAATCCGACAATTCCTCTAATTATTTAATAGTTTAATTTACAAAATACTACATAGAAAATACTTCTTACGCGTGTCAGTAAAAGAAATAAGCGAAGAAAAATATTTGATAATGTTTCTACATTCGTGTTTTGCATATAACGTCAATCATAGATATTGTAAAACAAAAGTCTACACATAAGCGTTAAATCACGAGTAACATTTTTCTTTCTAATGGTGCTATGTAATTGAGTTCGAATGATCGATTCGAGACATTGATAATGTTTGACATTCGGATTTTTTTAATTCATGACGAAAATGAACAAACGATTATACAATAATGCTGTGATCTATCAATGAATTGATAGGCAATTAATGTTGTAATTAATATTATACTTATTTGTTAGAAAAATTTATGTTTCAATAATTGATTTCATTTTAATATTGAAAAGTTCGCCAAATTGTATCAAAATGTATAACGGAATTTTGATTAATTTATTATACAAAAATATTTTTCCTTTTTAATATGTTCATTAGGATTGTTATGAATTTTATTTCGATTTTACTTTACAAAGAGTTTAAAGTTTACCGTGTTAATCCAATAAAACTGAAATACATTAATTTCATTTTTAGTAAAATTATACTGTACATTTTTTTGTTTTTAAATATAATTACAATTTTTTAATCCTTATGAAAAATTAGTAATATTATGGAAGGATAATTTTGAAAAATACAATGGAAAATGTTATTTTTATTTGTATATAACATGTTTTTCGTGATTATATGGTTTCTTTCTGTTTATCGTATTTTTTCAATCTACGAATATATAATTTTTAGTAATCTAGAACGAACAAGTATTTGACGTACAAGTATTTAGAAGAAAAAAGAAAAACAAATTGAAGTTCAGGAGAAGGAGGAGTAGAAGATTTGCGATCAAATGTTAAACAGTTCCTACGGAAACAGACATGTTTGTGGCATTGAATCATTTATCTGATAATTAAAAACAAATCTAATGTATTGATAATCGAATTTTTATTATGTATTTTTATAATGTATGCGTGCTCGAGTTTAGATGCCTTTAGATCGGTGCGCTTTCCTAAATTCATATGCGTACGTGCATACCCTTTTTTGTTATTTGAGGACGAATTACTTAATTAAGGATTAGTTAGAAATTTTCCTTCTACGTAGGCAATGATTCAAGCAAGCAGATTATCAGTAGCTTCGTAAATGTGATTGTAATTCATTTGTTAAAGTTCAATCAGCATTTAAAATTTATTCATCGATACAAAGTGGTTTTATTTATCTACTTTTTATTTTTATCACGATATTTCTTATGCACAAAATATAAATTTGAAACACTATAATGCCTCTTTTACTTTTTATGATTGCGTAATGCTTTTATAAAGGTCTGGAACGTAAAATTTTTAATGTAAAATCGGTAATGTAAAATATTTTAAATTATCTTTAAAATAAATTTAGTATTTTGATTAAGAGTAATATACATTTTTTAGTGAAAAAATTTAACGATATTGGAAATAGTATATTTCCATGTTATTAGTATATGTAATCATTTCTCATGCATTTTTTGTTTAAATTTTTACATATTTTGACCTTGTATCAATGTTTTTAATGAAATATTATAGTACGAGTCCGCACATAGGTACTAGTCAAATGTTTCGTTATATGTTAATGTTTAAAAATTAAGCTTCCTATGCTTTATTCAATAAAATTATTTTTATAATATTTATATGCATTTAAAATGTATATTAATTTTTATTCGGTAAGCCTTTAACTTCTAAAAAATAATTTTATAAAGCTTCAACGAGTTTTGATTTAATTTATACATCTACAGCTTCATTTATTCTCAATTTATAGTTTGGCCAAGTTGTTAAAATTAATAATAATTGCGAATTAGAAAAATCATTCGGGAAATAGTGAAATTAAAAATCTTTTATCTTTGATTGATTCATAAACCCACAAAATATACGTGCATGACTGATGCAATTTTGCTGTTTTTATCCTTTATCAAAAAAGATAAGTAATATTATTTGTGCACATACGTAATCAATCGCATTACATTCCCATTATAATCTATATCGTTAAATTGTATCTTCAATATTAACCGAAAGTATATCCTAGCTAAAGTTTATGCAAGATAATAATAATTAGTACACAATAATTTTTGATGCAGTAAGTTTTTTTTTCTAATTTTCCAAGGCAGATATTTTAAGTAATCTCTGCTTGTATATTTATAATTTATAATTTATATTTTATATTTGCAAATATATCAGAATTATTTATTTAATTGTTTATGCTAAACTAAGTTGAAAGAATGATGTTATTTCCCAATTCTATTGGGAGTTTTAATTATTAATATATATGTATTCAGATAAATACGCTTTTTAATAAATAGTTTTAATTAATTTTTTCTAATACGTGAACTATCTATCTTATGTTTTAAATTTGAAAAATCATATAATTGCGAATTAAAAAAAATAAGATAGCAGAGTAATCGTCGATTTTGAAATCAACGCGATTTTGTTTTACAAACATATATTGATATTATTTTATATTTGAGACTGATTATTATTATTATTATTATTATATTTTTTTTATAAGTTCAATGCAATCGTATAATATTTTAGAAACATATTAAACTTACGACATAACTTCATATAAAAAGAGAAAAATAAATATGTGAGAAGGGAAATTGAAGCAATATCAATAAAGGAAGTAAGCGTTTTCAATATTTATAAAAATTATTAAAGAGAATTAATTAATATGACTATTAGAAATATTACTTTAACCTTTAGGTTTGTGTACATCTTTATTTACAAAATAACTATATTTAATTGCTTATTCATTTTTGTATTGTTCCAACAGCTTATATTGTTCCAAACGATATTTATTTAGCTATTATTAGCTAAAGCATGATGAATTTATAGGAGTAAGTTGTAATATTTTTATTTGAAATATAAAGTAAAAAAAAAAAGAAAAAAAGAAAAAGAAAGAAACGTTTCAATGATGTAAAAAGAAAGTGAATATGACGGTGGCTCGTTCGTTACACTTTCCTATCGCTTTCATTCATTTGAAAATAATAGATGGATGATTTTTTTGTGTCTCATTCGCAATGAAAAAAGCGAATAGAAATCTAGATGAAAATAGAGACAGAAATGAGTGACCGAGCAAGACGCTTAGATGCATGAATGCGCATCTAATATTGTTAAAATGCGTATTATTACTATTAGCGTCGTTGAATCAATAGTTAATTTAAAAATTTACATACATGACTGAGTGCTCGTAAATTCATTCACATTCCCGACGCTTTGAATTTGGAAACATTCCCTCGAAGGAAATTATTTGTTAATAGGCAAGCTTTGCTCTTGTTCAAAAAATAAGGAAAATGCTTCTCTTGCTTAAGCTCCACAAAACCTATATTATTCTTCAAATGTCCTCCCCGGATTCCTGGTATTTTCTAGCGGCGGCGATGATGGAGGGCACCCCTCCATTCCCCTTCCGGTTCGTGCCGTCCCCACCCCCACGTAATGACGGTATCCCGTCCCACTCTCCATGGCATCTTAGTCCCGTGGCTTGCGCACGTCGCATCATTTCGGTCTCGTACGTTGTTGCGTCAAGAATTGGAGTGGCAGCAGGCAGCAGCAGCAGCATCGGCGTTGGTAGTAACAGGAACGCGAACAGACCTGTTTTCCTCGAGGGACGCTCGTACTCTTACTAAGAGTTGAGGAGGACAAACGTCAAGATCAGCTCCTCGTTCTCTTGGCTGTTTTCTCAGGCGAGAAGACGATCGTTTCGTCATCAGCGCGAGCGAGCTCAGCCATCTCGAGCCAATACGTAAAGAGGAGACGACGGCACGGACGGCACGGACGGCACGGACGGCAGGAATAATATGGGCATATTTCGCGAATTTCCAACAGTCTTCAATCTTTATAAGAAGTACAGTTAGACTGTGACTGATTCAAAGCTTCTTGTCGAAGCTTTAGTAATCGCGCAGAGAACTGGGAGGATCGAGTTTTGTGGAGTATTCATTATTTCGTACGTGAGAGTGTCATCGATTTGGCGAAGTTATTTGGCGAAGAATACCAAAGATTGTTCAAGGATCTCAAATAATAAAAATAATTAAACAAAAAATAAGACAAAAGCAAAAAAAGAATAGGTAAGTCGTTTATCCTTGTTATTATTCAGTATTGTAAAGTGCAACATTCATGCGGCGGTTGCTCCATCATATTATTTAGCTACGAGAGCTTGCTGCTCGATATTAGATTTACTGTTTGCTAAGCGTACACTCTTGCACAATTATGCCGTTTAAATGTGAACGCGACCATTGGTGGTGGGAGCAGGTGAATAGGCAAAAATGATGGGAGTTTTACGTGAGTAAACCTCGGACTTTACAAAAGCACAACCCGAGTCATACTGTTAACAAACTTTGTCGTCTTTCTTATCTATAAATAACGTCAGACATTCCAAATGTATGCAGCCACATTGTATGGTTGACTATTGTATGGTTGCTGCAATGAACCTCTTAAACTTCTCGTTTTCGGTTATACAATAACAACGGTTTCGCTGCCTTGGCTTTCAAGAACATTCATTGATAGCTTCCGTTTGTGATTAGAGCAGCCTCTAAGCTAACATTACTTTTTGTTAAGGGCTTGTTATCAAATGGTCACTTACTGATGGAAAGAAAAGAAAGAGAGAAAGAGAGGTGCACCACCGATGGTTGTCAGTTAATTTTAAGAGGATATAGGACGAAATTCAATTTATTAAATTGATTAAATGGTAGGAGTTTATTAAATATAATTTTTGCTAAGGTTTGTTTTTGTTTTATGTCGATTTCTTCTTTTAAACATTTGTATTAAATTTGTATTCTCAATGTGCATTATTACTTTTTATTTATAATTCTTACGTTTTATTATAAATAATTTCTGTTCATAATGTAGTTAATTATTAAATTTTGTCATTAATTTTTATTCCTTTTAAATACACTTTTAAAATGATTTCAATTTGTCTCGCTGCCGTAACCATACATATATGCCTTATCCAACAATATAAAAAATTGCTATATTTATTAATTCAATATTGAATACAGAATCAAACAATTATTTACAATTTTAGATAAGAACGCATAAATATCAGGTATAAATAAATAAATAATAAAGAAATAACTGTACTTATTTATTATGAAAATCTTAAAAGTAGTTTTATATCTACCGACTGTATTGTAAGTTAATTCAGAACGGCCTTAATGGTACATTTGAGTTTATCTCTTTTCATAAAAATTATCTCTCCATCATTGGATTTTTTTATCTTAAAAATTCAACATTATTGTCATAACAATCTATAAGTAAAACTTAGAAAGTCAAATAATGAAGTTAAAAGAAAAAGAAACATCAAATAAATATTGACTAGACAAGTAATATATATATATATATATATATATATAAATATCTAGACTCTTCTGCTGTTCTTATCAATTATTTTGTATCTGGTTAGCCTGTTTTTTTACTTGGTGAAATAAGAGATTAATTTTGTAATTACAAAAGTTGCAAATCTTTTTGGCAGAGCTTTAATCTTGGTGCTTTGGGTTATCAAGTGTGTGATTTTTTACAAATAGTTTCTGTGACGAGAGTTTGTCAGTTCATATGATACCGGATGAAGGTCTTTTGCATCTGGCAATGAATATTATGCTCAGAGACAGTCTTTCATTTAAATGAAGAGGATACATATATTGATGTTAAAAAATTATTCGAACATTAAGTAATATGCTCAGACTCTGAAAAATAATCTTTTCTGACAGTTATGCAAATCACTTTTATATATATAGTTTTTCTATGTCTAGTAAAATGAATTTCTGCGTATTTTAATATAAAAAATTTTAACTAATTAATAGATATTTATAGATTTAAAAATTTTTTCATATAATTATTTACATATTAATATTAGAACAAGGGTTGTATGTAATTATTGTTAAAAAATATGCGCAAGAGTGTTTTCAGTATTTATTTAATGATAGTCAAATACTACAAATCTTTTAACTTTTAATATTTAAATTTGTTATAAGGATGTATTTTGCTTATGTTCTTTTAAAAATAGAAGAATTTGCTTAATATAAATGTATAAGAAATTTTTATTATAATTAGTTTTGCAATTATATTCTAATAAAGGCATTTAATTATCACGGTAATCTCTTATTTTCAGGAGTGATAACTGTATCCGGTGAATCAGTCTTTTATTCAAAAAATTGTAAAGAATAACAGACTCTAAATAAGGTCATTGTGAAGTTTATCTGATATTCTATAATATTTTCCAAATACTAAATAAAATGAGTAAGTCCAATTTTATTCAAGAGGAGGATAGTACTATCAAAAAAGCCCCTACGTTAGTTAGGCGTGTCTCTGATATGTTTAAGGGTAAGTAATTATGCAGTTGATAAATTTAGTTTGATTATTGAAGTATCACTTATTGAATTTTATACAAGAAAATTTTTATTTATTAAGATAAGCACTGTATTAATAACTGTATTAATGTTTTTTCAAAATTATTAAAAATGCGTATGAGCATAGTTAGTATCTTTGATACAGATCTAGCCACAAATATGTACAGATAAATATATATATATATATATATATATATATATATAATATAAAAAAAAATAACATAACATTCATGAATATGATTTTATGTTAATGTTTATATTTGAATAAAAATCTTCTTTTTTTTTTCATTTATATAGTATAATAGTATTAATTATTATACGTTTTTGTTTGTAGATGGAACTTACAGTGGACCGCCATCTCTCTTTTCTCAGAAGATTAGGCATTGCTGTCAGAATTTAAATCTCTTTCCATACTTGCTTTATTCTTTTGAAAATTCCAAGTCTCATCCAATAGCGAAGAAAGTTAATTTGTGCTTTGATTTGTTACTTAGAAATTTCATTCAACGACTTTTATTTGTATACACGCGTTTACGACGAGCAGCTTTGTGTGGCCTTCAACAGGTATCGTTATTGTCTTCCAAGAAAGAAATTGAAGAGCAGAATTATATTTTTGCAAAAAATGATACAAAAGCTAGGTTATGTAACTTTCAAAAGCAGAAACCAAAACGCAGTCCTGTACTTCTTATAATTGCAATTTATCTGGCTCCTTTGATTCTTGCCCTTCAATTAATTGGACTATGTAGTCTGCTTATTTTTGGCAAGTATACACCTGGATTTATTTTTCTTGTGACTTCGTTAGTATTACTTGGATATATATCCATGAAAATAATGTTCCATGATGCAGCAACAGTTCGAAGCAAAAAGGAAGAAAGGTGGGAGATAAAGAAACTGGATTGATTTTGTATTTCTTTCTAGATCTTTAAATAAAATATAAATAGAATTCTTTCAATCATATCACTATAAATACTCGATACTTTAAGATATTTACTTAGTTGCACCAACATTCTAAATAACTTGCATTACAGAAAAAAATAAAATTTGGCTAATCTATCATTTACTTTTTCTACATTTACATATTTATGCAGACAGTTCTTATGTCCTCGATGCAAGATAATTTTCAATGATTAAATAATTATTATATTATAGTGTTATGATTCACCAACAATTCTTTTTTTTACTCGAATAATTGTTATACATATTTATTTACTAATAATTATTATTCAAGTAAAGTACATAACAAATATTTTGACGGTTGGCAAAAGAAAACATTCGGAAATTTTCAGGGAAAAGTATGTGCTCATCTTACCAAGTAGTTTATGAGATTTTGTAATTGTGTTTCTATAGGCATTGCCTTCACTTATGCTTCTAAAATTTTCTTTCCATTTATTATTATAAAGGCTATAAACTTTCACAATGTACTTCTGTGCTTAATGTAAATCACTTTATTGTGCCCGTCATAATTATTTTATACTACTTCATATGCAAATTAGATTATTAAGTAGACTATACGTGCAGTGATAAAATTAATTGTGAAATCGCAACAAACTTTTGGATAAATAGACATAAGAAGCTCATGTATACATACACATAATCATCAATACATCTTTTAGGAAGGATCAAAGAAGGGAAAGAAAATTAAATAACAAAGTTAAAAAATTAGTTTTCAGTTACAATCAATTTTCGATTTGAAATACTAAATGTAATAGTGATGTTTCATAAACAGCTTTCTTGATGGCTATAACTGCACGTATTTCAGCATTGACTGATGAAATTAAAGGATAATTAACGTATGATACTTTATCCTCTACAGTATAAGACTGAAAAATCGTTTAACGTACTTGTTTGTAAATATAAATAACATGAGAGAATAAATTTATTGATATCGTGTATACCTTATTGCGTACCATTAACAGATTGTAATATTTTTCTTATGCGCATAGTATGATTCTTTGCGACCATATGTTTTCATTAAAATATGCTTTTTCTACAATGTAAAATTTTCTTCTTTGAAATACATTTTTGTCGTATTTTTTATTTATTGTAGTAGAATATGTAGAATATAAAGGAAAGCCATCTACCAATGTTAAATATTTAAATGGATTTAATACTTGTAATATTAAATTTTTCACGAATAACAAAAACTCATTAAAAATATACCTGTAAAATTTCGGAAAATTAAACTTTTTTCATAAAATTATTGAGAGTTATTTATTTGTGTTTAATGACAAACCGTTTTAAAAAAATGTGATATACGTTTTAATTATGAAAATTTGAAGAAATAAAGTATATGTAATTTTCGAATTAAGCAAATCAATCTTGAAAAAAATATTTATAAGAAAAAAGTGTAATTATTTATATATTAAAAGAAAATCCATTATTCAGAGTTCCGAAATGAATATTAATAGATGTTTCAATGATTAAACTTATTAGAGCTTCGAATTCTTTTGGTGTTAATATTGATTTATTTTTAATTACGAGTATCCAAGTTACGATTCATCATACATATATATATATATATATATATATATATATATATATATATCTGTAATTATTGAATTAGCTTTTGATTCATTTCACAAGGAGAAATAAGTAAATTTACATGTAAATTGACAGCAAAATAAAGAATTTGTATGTCCTAACAGTGACGCCATGTAATTTGAAATTCTAAGAATTATATTCCGTTGATATAAATTAATTTAGAATCGATCGTAAACAATATATTGTTTTCATAAAATTTTAAGTAAAATACTTATAATATATTTTATATATTAAAACTTCATCTTTTAATATTATCATGTATGTAGAAAACCAAAAAGTAAGGAATATTTTTTCATTATTCTTTCTAACAGTTACATTATCTTAAAAGAACATTGTTTTATTTATAAATCGCAGATTTACGTGAAATGTATAACAGACAGTAGGACCATATGGTATTGAATTGATAAATCTTTATTATTTTATATGTATATCTTTTGTACAGAATATTGGCGTATATATTTTAACTATAAAACACCAAATATATAATATCAGATAAGGAATATGAATTTGTGTATATCTTAATTGTATGGGAAAAAATTGTCTATTACTAATTGGCAATATCTTTTAGATAAAGTTATCCTAGAGTATTAAATTTACATAGTAAATGAAAATAAATAAATATGTAAGAATATAATCGCATAAGAAAATAGTAAAATTTACCGTACTCGAGCCGGCATCGACTGATGAAATTTTGACACGTCTTTATTTTTTTTATACTGCTTTTATATAGTATATTTACTTTAGAGTATCAATAAAAATATTCTGTTAAATTTTAAAAAGCCTATGTTAATAAATAAACAGTTTATAAAAAATATAATGGTAGCAATAAAAGCTTACCATAACTATATGTATATAGAATATATACATAACTATATATATATATAAGAACTATATGAAACGTGCTACTTACCTGTTAAATTGAAATACGATTCTACTTACATTTTAAATTTATTCTTAGTATACAATAATCGAATGAAGGAGTATAGAGTGATACTAGAGTTTAATCCAGTACCTCGATTTAATAATGATGTACAGGGAAACCATTTAAACAAGTAAAAATATAACATTACAAAGAAAAATTAATTGTAATGAAAAACATGATATCATCTTTGTTAAAAATTTCTACTATAAATATTTTTTATTAGAAAAAAATATTGAAAAGCGATTTAACTTGTAAATAGCAGAAGTATTTGTAATTTTAAATTTGAATAAAAATTTAATATAGTAATGATAATACAGTACGTTAATTGTTGATGTTTAACTCTTTATTTCATAGTTAATCAACAGAGTAATATGTAAGGAATTGCTTGTTTTTAATACAATATTTAAGCACAATCGTAATAGCTTTATTTTTTTTTCATTGATGTTATATTTGCAAGAGATATGTACTTCCTGGTAAATAAGTAGCAAGTTAAATTTTAAAAATGTTTTAGATTTTTTTTTTAAGTTTTTGTATTAGCTTGGAAATTTGTTTACTGTTCGCGTTAGATTTTTCTATTAAACTGTTAAAACTGTAATTTTTTTTATGTTGTACATTAAATAATTTGGGAGAAAATACTATATATACTTTTGTTTATACTATATATATATATATATGATTGTATACTTTGTATTGTATACTTAAAGATATTTATTATCTTTATTTGGTTAGTTTTTTTTTATTAAAAAAACTAATTAATTAAAAAAACTAAGTATTTATTTGATAAGAATTAAAAATCTTATATAATAGCTATAAGCAGTCTTTGAAAAGCTAAAAAAACCTAAACTTCAATTTCGAATGCTTGATTATCAAAACTGAGTTATCACTGACAAGATAAAGGAGAAACCGCTCTCTTGTTTTTTATTTTTATCTATATTATCATATATATATTATCAATTTACTCAAACAGCTTTTAACAACAATTTACTTAATGCTTATACACAAGTAAGTACTATGAGTAAAAGAGGAATCTTTTTAAATAGTGTAACTATTTTAATAATTATTGCTAATGCGTATAATATATAAATGTATAATATATAAAAGAATATAAAATGCATATAATATTGATATCGTTACGAAATAAATTAAATTATCATTTAATTTTTCATAAATACGTAGCATAAAAATAAGTAAAATATAATGGTTTTTATTAAATTACGTAAAACATTGAATAGTGAAATTGTGACTCCCATCAAAAAGAATTTACGGTTTCAGTACGTCTGATTACAATGATATCTGCAATCGCTTACATTGTATTATATTTCGCTTAAATTAAAAAAAAAATATAAGTTAGTTTTGTTTTATGCTTTTATCAACAAAATTATTTTTATTCTTTATTTATAAAACTTTTTTGGTAATGGAATTCCAATCCGGCATTGAGCTGATATGATTGAGAATCAGGAAGTAATTGGAGTATAATGAATTAGTGATTTACCTTTCAAATATATTTAGAGGAAATATCTAAGAGTTAGTTGGGAGAAATAATATTCGTATTCGTTATGGAAGAGTAATAATTTACGAATGCCTTTCGCTAATACGTGATAAGTAATACTAATATAATAAAAGTGTATATACTTTTTCATTAACCAAGTACTATGTTTCTATTCACTCATCTTTCAACACTGGATTAATACAACGATTTAAGTTTTGATTGTTCATTATTTTATTTTAAGTAAAGAAATTTTTAGGAATATAATTTTTAGGAATTATTATAATGCATTGTATGTATGAAATATATTGTTATTATTAAAATTAAAGCTACAAATATGAAAACTACATTGTAATATGCAATAAATTAATTAGGGTTTTTAATTTTAGATAGCAGTATAGAAGATTGTAAATAAAACGAGAAAGTTTCCTATAAAAATTAGACTCCACTTATTGCTCGTAGAGGAGGAATTAGCGTATGGACCAATTTTGGCGGCGTAGGCGACAACGTAAGGTACGAAGTTCTGCTCGTGCGTTGTGTGAAGCAAATGTGCGTACGGTCCTATAGAAAAACGGATATAAATATTCACAAAAATCATTAGTTTTTTAAGAATATTTTTAGGAAAAATGTGTAGTTACATGATTCCTATTGTATTGAATATTAAAATGATTGTGACATATGCAATAAATTATCTAATTAAATAAGAGTTTGCCTGAAATCATTAAAAGATATTCAATATAAATATATTATATAAATTATTTAAAGAAAGTTTTTACAAGAATTTGTATAACCAATTATAAGGATAATGAAGTTTTTAAGAGTAGTGAGCTGCTCGGTTAATATCAAATTATCTATTTTAAAAAATATGCATCTTCATTGCTAATGCATTAAACTGTTGAACGAGTTATGACAATTATTATGAAAATTGATAGCTATATACAAATATTAAAATTTATTATGAGAATAATAAACAATTCTTAATAATGTAATTATGTTTAGTAGGATTATTCATTTAAAAATAAAACTAACCAAGTGCATAAACAGCAACATCGCCACCGCCGTGATGAGCCTCGTCGGTGATAATTGCAGCTTGTTGACTGTAAGTGAATTGCGTAGTATCGTTCTCGTTTGGATTTTTTCTTACGGATTTGTTATTAGAGACTTCGTAAGCTAAATTGTTCGGTCCACCGGTGCTGTAACTCAATGTAGTGTACGGGATTTTGTCGAATTTTGAGTCCTCGGCTATTCCTGTAATCGGTCATTAAACCCTATTTTATGATTGATTGAAAATTTTAAATGTTACTTTTTCTTTATCTCTTACAATGACAAATTACACCCATAAAATAAAAATAAAAATATAAAAATTCGCTATAAAATCTTCCCGTCATTCACTATTATTACGAAGATATATTTATATCAAAATTTCCGATACGCTATTCAATATGTAATATTTTTGCAACGTAAAGCCTTCGAAGTTTAAGGAAAAATTGACATTGATGTCCGATTATATGCGCTCTCACCTAGAATGTCAGACCCACGACGGCTGTTCCCGTTGAAAGCCAACGAGTGTGTATGATCGCTAGTGACAATCACTAGCGTTTCTTCCGCGTTGATCATTCCCAAAGTGGCATTTATTGCATCCGAAAAACGAACGGTCTCGAGAAGAGCTTGAGCAGCGTGGCCCCGATGGTGCGCAAAGTCGATCAAGCCACCTTCGACCTGGAAGAAACGTAAACTCGTGCTTGAGAAGGATGCGAAACCAGTTTACAGTACATATATTGTAAGTTTATCTGTAAGAATGAACGACAAACGGTTTAGAAACATAAAGATATTTAGAGATGTGTGTGTCACGTTAACAGAATATGTATTACCACGAGAAGAAATCCGTTATTGGATTTTTTCAATATCTTAAGTGCAGCGACTGTCATCTCCTCCAAACTCGGCTGACCGTTTGTTCCATTATCCCTCTTGTAATCCATGGGAATGTGTCCGTTTGCGAATATACCCAGTAGAAAGTCTATCTTATCGTAATTAATCTCGGCGAGCTCCTCATTATTTTGTACTACGCTAAACGACGCCTTTCTGCTTTTTTTATCCGCCATCCAATCGCTAATTAAATTACGCCCATCACGTCGGCGACCGGCCCATGTGTCAATGGGATCGCTTTCCGTGGTGTTAACGACAGTTTGTAGCATTTGTCTACCACCACCCATTATTACCTGTTGAATGATTATTTTGTGTTTTGTACTTTTATTATTTCACTTTAACAGTTTTATATTTTATCGGTAAAAACGCATGTATAGTTATTGAAAATATCGATTATGCCCATATTTATGTGTTATTATAAAATCAAATTAATTATTTAGATAATGCATTGGAACGTTAGTTTTGCCGATAAATAAACAAATAAATAAATCAGTACACAATACTGGTATGTAAAGTAGATGAATTTCGAGAAGCATTAATCATTTGTTGAGTGAAATACAAACTTTGATATTTTTGCCAGGCTCATTTTCAATCAATTGCCTAGCTATATCCTTGCAATTACTTTCTTCGATTGGCATTGTGCTCTCGCATTCCCACTTTCTATTTGGGCCATGTGCGTATAATGGAGCAGGCGTCGCATGAGTCACTCGTGTAGTTGTGACAAATCCTGTTGACCAACAAGTACAAATTTGATATCAAAAGACATATTTAATTATGTCAAGCCTACAAGAGCGCGAGAAAATTACGATACGCTAATTCTATTGTTGGCGATAAGAAACTTTATAAATGTGCATCTTTTATGTTAATTATGTACTATTTATACACCTTTTATAAGACTTTATTTTATCGCGAGTCGTCATTTTAGTTATGAAAGAAAAAGAATTTAATCCTATATTAAACAATTTTTTAATTTAATATTGTTGTTATACAAGTTCCATCTATACAGAATTACCTAACGAGCCACTTAACTTCTACTACACAAGTATGTACGATGTTTACAATTGTGCTATAAATTTATTCTACATATATTATAAGTTTTGTAAAGAAGTACCGTTACATGTTGATAATATTACACTAAGCTGAAATTTCAATTACTGAAGTTTTTGTAGTAAAGTTGAATAAATTTGTGCATTCGATTTCTGTACGAAAGAATCGAAAATTTATCTTCCACATTTCCTATACGTTTTCTTTTTTTTTCTTTATTTTCTTTATTTTATTTTTTGTTTTTTATTCAGACGTAGCATTTCTGTCATAGAATTGGCAATAGCATTCAGTTAGTTGTCAAAATTGAGAAATTTTTGTACTTATGCACTATATCACAGTGTTAAAAAAAAATCGTATTAACCCCTTAACAATCGTTAATGTAGCGAGAAAGCCAGTGGCTCCTTATCGACCGAACAAAGTGGTTAGTAGTAACCTGTGCTTTTGCCGGCGGCTTGAGCCCAATTTATGATGGAGTCGACTCGATTGTCGGTAGGTACACTCGCTTCGCAATCGTTCAACGCTACGTTCGCATCAACCCCGTGGGTGTTGTATTTCGCCTTGACGCCGCAAAATAATGCGGTCGCAGCCGAAGCGGAATCCGGTGCCTGCTTATCGACATTGTACGTCTGGATAGAAAAAAAATTTGGCATTACTTCAAAGAGGTTAGAATTTACATTAATAAATAATGATAACTCGCCATGATAGTCGAGGAAAATAAATAGATAGATAGATAGAGATGAGAGTGAAAAATTGGAAAGAGGGGGGAGTGAGCAGGTATATGCGCGCCTATGTGTATATGCGTGCCTGTTGCGTAATAACGTTTTATTGCGTTGGCGGTGTACCTTCAGCAAACCGATGTGAGGAAATCTTTCCCATGCGAGATAACTGTCCTCGCCACTTCGGTAAATTCGACTGGCCGTTATTGTATCGGAGCTCATGCCATCCCCAACGAACAGAACAATGTTTTTGGCTTTGTTTGTGTTCCATGCGTAAGAAAGCGAGTCCTTTAGCTCCTTCTCGGCGACTTCGAGCCAGTACTTCTTATCTGCACGTCGCGTTTAATAAGCTTGGTTTTTATCGATTTTTGGTATTATTATGATAGCTGTTTAATCACGTACCTTCTTTGATTCCTATGATAACAGGAACAAGAAATACAAGGACCACTACTTTTGAAAGTTTCATGTTAATAGTTTGATTTTACTGATTTGCTTATAGTTTACTATCGGTCACATAATCAGCTCGCGATAGATACGCATTGTACGATATCCGTTATCTGTTTGCCGAGTAGCGAGGCTTTGAAAGGTGTGCGTTATTAGCTCTTAAATTGTCATTATATTTAATAGTGACTTATTTATCATAATTTTTCCCGTTAGCATTTATAAAGTGATTACATATACTCGACTGGTGCCGCCATCTCGGCAAATGAGCTTTGATACCTTATTATTTCAATCAATAATTGAAAATTTCATTATTTTGAAGAAAGTAATTTGTTATTTTTTTGCTTACTACGAACTACTATGTATTACTACGAATTAAAAGAATCTTTCTTTCCAAATTTTTCATACAATATTTTATATTTTACACATTTATCGATAAGGTAGAAACTGATTTTATACGCATTATGTAAATAACGGTTTTCTAGAGAATTAAAAAATACGCACACACACACGTGCTGTTCTGAGAATTTGTATTAAAAGATGAAAACCAACAAGAAAAAAAATAATAGATTTTTAGACTGAACATAAATCTATATGTATGTCTAATCTAAATAATATTAACATTTACGATGTTGAATTTTTTAATTGAAATTTTTAATTATCTTTGCTTTGATAACAAACGATCAATGTATTTTCAAATATAAAAATTTATCAAGATATACACTAGCGACGCACTCATTATATTGAAAATGTTCTTTAATTAAATCACATAAATCGATTACTAACATAAGTTCTTCGTTTTTTGTGAAAAATTATCGACGACAATACCTTTTTAAAAGCAGCTAATTTTTCATTTGATAAAACTGTCGGACAACTGTAGACACTAGAGAGACTTCGTATTTATAAACTATATTTGGACCTAAGTTTTTAAAATAAAGTATGGGAGGAGGAATCAAGCGTAATTTTGGAGCATAGGAAAAGAGAGACGAATTTATTGATCGGTGGAGCTCTTCTTTTTCCATTACATAGAAGAGAGCCAGGAAGAGAAGAAAGGGACTCGGTCTGGGAAGGGATTTTTATGAAATTAAAGATGGCGTCAACCTCTTATTGTCTTTTTCTCTCTTATGTGTACTTTGTCCAATATTTCCCATTCTATTTTCTGTTTGACTTTCGATTGTACCGGTTAGGGTGGGATAATGTTAAGCGGTGGGCAATGGTAACGTAACCAAGAGGAAATGAGAATAAATATGTCACGTCGGTTGATCAGTGACCTGAACAAAAAGCATTTTCAGCGTAGTCGTTTTAAGAATGCTTTTCTATAAGAATATACGCGATTTTTCAAGAACTTTGTAAATTAATAATGCTTATTTTCGTAGTCATAATACTTCATATCTAAAATAATTAAGATTATAAACAAATCAGTGTGTGAATAATTTTTTTGAATGAAGTGAGACAAATTACATTTTAATAAAAAATTAACATAAATAATATTTTATAGTAAAAAATATTATTGCATGTAATAATTAGTTTTTACAGCAATGTTCTTAAAGTTTCGTATCGGTGAATTCACTTTATATTTTTATAATTTGTCAATAATATTAAAATATTAGAAAATTTTCATCCTTTTGAAATTTTAAATAAGGTCGTATGCCCCTAGTAAAACGGTACTTTCATTACAAAGGTATTAATTTCATTATTTATTTATCCTGCAAACTGAAGAACAAAGTACGCGAGAAGTAAACGTTGGCACTTGAAGGTAGCGCAGGGGGTTTCGAAGGGTGAGAGAGAAACTTGGAGGGTGGATCGTCTTTTAAACGGCTAAAGGATGGAAGAAGAGATGGAACGCGAGAGAGCCTGTATATGCACGATAGCATTGGAAAGACTGACAACGAGGGTGAGATATATATATATATATATATATATATAGGAGAGAGAGAGAGAGAGAGAGAGAGAGAGAGAGAGAGAGAGACGGGGACAGAGAGCAGGGGGCAGTAATGGGATGGTACGTGCGGAATCGCGGTTTGTTTTTGTTTCCTTCGAGACTTTCGACTCGGAATGTACAAAAACTTGGAGAATTTAAGGGGCGCTGCGAACTGCTTTTTATAGTTTGAGGTTTTATACACAATGAAGTGCGAGTCCCACCGGAAAAAGAATCTTTGTGGTTAAAGTTGAAATTGTTTGCTTTTCTTAGGCTTCTGAAGGTTAGCGTAAATTAATAATAATTGCCAACAATCTTTTATTTTATGTACTTTCTTATTCCAAGGATTTAATGGCTAGCAGAATGATGATATGTCTTTATAGGCACTTACAATTTATAATATAAATTTGATAAAGTACAAACGTGTAGACTTTTAAATTGTACGTTAGATAATTCTAGATGTTATGAAATAATGCCTCGTGTGCTTGGAGGTGCGATACATTTGAAATATTTAATCCATTATATATTATTGATAGTAACATTGATAATCGGAATAAACGATGAATTCGTAAGGAACTACATCTCAACTGTTTAATAGTTTTTAATAATTTTCAAACACTTGCGCTTATTAACGGTATTGACACATCTGCAAGATTCGGTTGGCTTGAGAGTTGAATATGAATTGATTATGTCAGACACGTCAGCATACTGTTTTAGAGGTAGATGCGAGAGATTGACACACACGAGTTTGGTCAGTATGAAAATTGCGCTCGAGCCCTATAACCAGAGTACTCGAGGGTAAAGGTCGGAGGGCGTTAACTGATACCCAAATCGCTGCTTACGAAGCCAGCTGTTGATGATTTTACACCATTTTACGTCATTTATAATTTACTTTTTCTATTTTGTCCTTTGTTTTTTAACCAATAGCCTTTGCTAGATTTACTTTTGTAGACCTCTCTTTTGGATTTATAAAGTTTTCATGTCATTAAATTTTAATTTTTTTTTTTTTTTTTTTTTAAATACATCGAGTTCCTACATTAGTGAATCAGGAAATAAAGTATATTATTCGACGGAAAATGTTTAGTAATTAATTGTTGATTTGTTTATTAGGAAGATCAAGTTTTAAAAATAATTTGGTGCTTTGAAATATTTATTTAATAATACATTATATATAAATTATAAATAGAAATATAAGTAGAAATATAAATATAAATAAAAGAAATATAAATAAAAGAAAATTATATCCACATTATTGATTATATACATTATTTATTTATTATTTATTAAAATATTTTTAATATGCTTTAATAATATTTGTGTCATGTACAGTATTTAAATAACTGTAAATATTGAATTATATGATGTATATATATGTAAATCATAATATTATTAAATAAGTGATACAAATATTTATAAAGAATATTTCAGAATTGAGATAGAATTAGTTTTTATAGAGATGAAAATTTAAACACATAATTATTGAAATTAAATATTATTTTTATTTTATGTTTTTACGACATGAAGTGTAATGCGCAAGAATTTACAGTCCGGCCATTATAAAGACAAGAAATATAAGGAAATAGTTTTTTGTACAATTTAAATAGTTGATCTATAAATTTTTGTTTATAAAAATGAATACTTTCTATTACATAGAACATTAAAAAGATATGAAATAATAATAGGATTTATTTACATTTCAACTAAAAAAATTATTTTTTACTTCTTTACTCAACAAAAAGAAGCCGTGAAAGTATTTTTATAATGAAAATAATGAGTTGATAAATTACAATCTTTCTTTTACGGTAGGCAAGTTCACGACTTCTAAAAGTAACAAAAGAAGTTGACGGCCACTGCAAGAACGAAAAAGAGAAAGAGAGAGAAAGAGAGAGAGAGAGAGAGAGAGAGAGAGAGAGAGCATAAAATAATAAAGACGAGTTTTTGATTGTGCCATAAATTTAAGAGCTTTTGTTTTTAACGTTGTAGTATATATTTGCTGCTGCAAATCTTGCAACTTTCCTAAACTTCAGTACATTGGCAACCTCAGAGGTTGCAATGACCAGTTGGTATTTTTGTTTTCTCAATATTGTACAATATTATTAAAAATAAAGATTTTAACACCTAGTAAAAATAAACGAACCTATAGAATATTTGAATTACGGTCCAGAAGTTTTATTTTGACGTAAACACAACTTTAATCATTAGTAACTTTATTCCGTATTATAATATAATAATGCCTTATTTTAATGTTTATCAACTTTTAATTTGTACAGATTATTAACAGATTTTATATTACGATGTGAAAAAAATATGTATTTTAAAAATAAGTATATTAATTTTTTGTTATGAACATAAGAATATAGCTATTCAAGACTTTTACATTGTCTCATACATAAAATTAAATCGTTAGTTTAAGCACTTAAAAAGTTTTGATTTCAAAATGAAGTAAGTATTTTGTTTATCATTGTCTGTTACTATTTAAATTGAAATAATCATTGTACATTAATTGGTATAAAGTTGCACTAAAATATTGTTGACTCAACATTTATTTTCATTTGTAAAAATTCGATACCTTATAGCTATATTTAGCTATATTCGAAAACTAGTTACGTTTAAGAGAAAATAAAATTTAGATGGTAGTTATCTAAGTTATAGTAGTCTAATAAATAGTAGTTCCTAAATTACTTATTATTAAATTATATTTTTCTTCGTTTAAAAATTAATTTTCTAATTTTAAGTACATTTTTATATGTATTAAAATTAAAAATTCTTCATTTACGTAAACTTATTTTATCATTTTAATTAATTCTTCAATTAATTTAATAAAGAAATTATTGTAAATCAAAAATTAATTTTCGTATTGGGAACTATATGTAATTGTTCCTTAACCCGAGTTTTATAATATAAAGTGTTTGAATAGTTATTGCAATTATAATTTAAAAATTTTCTGTCTATTTTATTAACGTTCAAAATTTATCATTAATTTACTTGAATATGTGAAAATAAATTTTTAATGAAAATTGGAAAAATTTGAACAGATGATGTATTATTTCAATAGAAAATTAATGAAAATATTGAATAAGGAATAATGAAGATAATGGTCATTCAATTTCTTATATGAAAATTGTAGAATATAATAGAAGTATTTAGTTCTTTTATAATGTAGAATATTTTTCTTTTTATAATTTTAGAAATTTGGTTAAAAAATTTTTTAAAAATACATACTTATACATTAATAAATTTCATTATAGTTTTAGATGTCACTG